TTTTGCTTTTTCTTTTTCTTCCCTGCATTTACTGGGGAGGACAAAGGGGGGTGGAAAATGGGGCATAGAAGGAAGACAGTACAATCTTCCCCACAGTCACCCCAAATTAAATTTCTTAGCATGAGTCCCCATCTGCATATTACATATGCTTGTTAGACATATATGGCTTCTGGCTTTGGCCAGAAGACAATACTGCATGGAGTAGTTTGTGCTTTGGCTCTGCACCACACACTCACAGTCCCGCACTTCATCAGTGGGCTCTGGCAATCAGATGTCACTCTGTCTCCATTTCTGACACCACAGCACTGTCGAATCAATCACATAGACACTTATCTGAAGATAGAATGGAAACCCTTCCTTCCCCATCACTCATTTCCACTCAGGGAATTACCCCATAGAAGACACTGGTACAGACACTCAGAGCTCTATCCAAACCTTTGCAGCTTGACCAGTTTAGACTAAACTCTTTATTAGTAAATCATCTCCTGCAGTTAAAAGTATCCTAAATGTTCTTGTTAATGCTTGGCACAGTGAAATATGCAATGTAATAAGAGGAATGTAAACCAGTTTGTAATAAGACACCATGCCCAGTACCTATTTAATGATATTTTGGCTCCAGATTTTTATTTTTATGAGTAGGACCTCAGAAATTTTAAATTCTTCCCATAATTATTGTTCTGTGTGCTTTAGAAAAACTGAAAATATTTAACTTATAATTGCGCAGTCTTTAATTTCTCTACCTTTCCTCAGAACAAGGAAATGGCAAGAGTGAGCCCAGACAACTGGTTTTAATTTAAGCTAATAGCTTGTGTTTCAAGAAGTCTGGCTAACTTTGTGATTTCACATGGCCAGAAAGGAAGAAAACTGTAATGCTGTTTCTCCTACAAATCTTCTGTGCAAGTACCCAAATTAGTACTTTAAATTCAATACAATTTTTTAAAAAATGTACTGCAAGAATTCTTACCACTGCTTATGGCCTTTTGGGGTAAGACACTAATAGAAGCAAGCAGACCAATAACTGTTCAATGACTTCTATGATGACATTCTCATTACAGCCCAGATTTTGATACCATTAAACAAGCACCATCTTATTCCATGAATAGTCATTCTACTGACACAAGCTCTCCAAATAAGGATCTATTTGGTGCAAGTCTAATAGATTTGGCATTAAATCAGAACAGGCTATGCAGACGCACTTTCAAATTTACATGGAAAAAATAATGTTTAAGCACAGTTCTACAGCATATGTCCTTTGTTATCAGTGTTCAGAGCAGTCACTACAAGAGAAAGGTCATACCTTCCAGAATCAACCTTTAGTGGACAGAGCAGTCAGAAATTTTCCATGCCCTTAAATCTTGAACTTCAGGTCTTCTACCAACGCATGAATGCATTGCAACACAGCAAACAAAACACACGATCTCCTTTACTGCAATGTTCACTTCCCAGTAACTCTGCTGTGATTTTTTCTTTCTGTCTTTTCTGGATGAGTACTTACAAAGTGTAAACTCATTGATGCTACATAACTTCAAACAAGTCCTGAATTTGAAATCAACTGCTTTTTTTTTTTTTTTTGTGGACAAAACCACCTTGGCTCCTTAGCAGCATCTTAAATAGGAAGTCTGGGTCAGATTTCTGTGACAGCACTGAGGAGTAATTTATCCTGCACTATACTATGACATGGTACTGCATCTTCCTAACATCCGTTTCTCTTAATCCAGCTAGAATAAAGTAACCCCTCTGCATGGCAGTTCAACATGTCCATGTCCTGTTTATACCTATATCCATCAAACCATCACTCCTTCTGGCTCCTACAAGTTATTTTCAGGCTCCTGCTCATCTGAAAACTTCTGAGAAAATATGAAAAAAAAAACCCAAACAAAACTCAAAGAAACAAAAAATGCTGTGTCAGTGGGAGGACCTTTGGACTACTATTACAATAATCTGGCACTAAAATTGATCAATATAATTAGAAAACTAAAAAAGAAAAAGAAAAATAAAAAGGCCTATGCAGAGGGTTTAGGATGCACAGACCTCCTGCTATGTAAATAGCTTAAAGATAAGTTTTTCTTTGTACTCAGTGTTGACCTTATTCTCCTTTCTTGAAGCCAATGGTAAAACTGCAAAGATACTTCTCTCTTCTCAGATTCAGCTTACTACCACAGAACAGTTATTTTCGTAGCAATGTCCTTATCTATTAACATTACACAACACATATTCATAATTTATCACACTGCTTTGTTTCACACTGTCTTCAGTGAAAAATATGCATAAGCCTAAGGAGGGAGTGTTCTTTCCTTTCTATGGCCAGAACATATCTATAAATGCATATTTTGAGAGTCATTTAGATAAAAGTAGTTCAAACACACTCTGCCTTTGGAAAGGACAGTAATGAAACTCACAGGCATCTTTGCTACCTGTAGAGTTTCATTCTGAACTTGTACCCATCTCTATGATCATTCTGTTACCAGAGAACAGGCCTTGTAATAGTCTTTGAGAGTTTCAATGCATCCCAGAGGAAAACTAGTCAATCACAGCCTTCCAACAATCCCTTACAGGTCTTGGCCATGGAGATCTTTAATTCTTGCCCCAGGTTCCAGGTTGTTCTTAGCAAAACTGAGGCTTCAGTTTTTACTTTTTTTAATTTTTATTTTTAAAAGTTCAGTGAGAGTATCTGACCTTGAGAAATTGCTGGCTCATATGCATCCAGGATAAGTCTCTCCTTATTAGTTACACTTTGCTGTTCTTAGAGGAAGGTAGAAGGTTTTGCTCTTTATCCAGGAATGTTACAGATTAGTTAAAACTTCTTTTTGTAAACTAGGAAAGACTCAAATTGAATTTGAAAGCCACCATTCAGCTATTACTTAGAATTCAGTCCCATCAAGAACTGATGGAGGATCAATGTTACAAATGCCAGGTGTTTGGATGTGCTGCTTACTGGGAGATATAGATGGAACAGAAGTAAAATAAGGACAATGCTGAGCACTAACAAAATTCTGTCACTTCATTTTCAGAGTTCACAAGCATATATGCTTTTTGAGTCTTTGCAAAACTTTCATTGTTTGTACTTTATGAGTCTCCCAGGTGAGCAGTCTGGAGCAGATCCTCAGCTACTAAGGGAAAAATGCTTATTGATCTCAGTGGCTGAAGTCTCTGTAATTCATCAGCTGAAGAAAAGCTTGCATGATCTAATTTATTTATGCTCTAAGATAGAATACAAACAAAAGAACACTTAGTAACTTAATTTTGCAAGTGCTTGTTACAAGTATATGTACACACAAAAGCAGGCTTGCTCAGAGCCATGGCTGATGCTGACTTAAAGAGCAGTAAATTAAATGGGTATCACTAACGGCTCATCCCCCAAGATATTTAATTAGAACTAAAAATATTGTTTTAGAAAGGAACAGTGAAACTGTTATGGAGTAAAAACTTGTCAAGATAGATACAGCGTAACACACTCAGACCACTGCAGTAAATGGAAAATGCACTTTGGTCCTGGTTGCAAAGTATTTCTGTATGAGAATGAAGTTCCTACTTGCATAAACAGCACAATGCCAAAAAAAAAAATAAATAAAAAAAAAATTAAAAATTGGCTACAGGACAGGAAAGGCTATTTCTGAATTTATATTTTAAGTATATGTATTTAACTACTCATAGTAATGTCTAAGCATAAGGGTATCTGATGTCTGGAATGTATCTATAGGCCCACTGAACAGATACAAAATTAAATTCACTTCAAGAAGAGAGATAATAAGAAATTATTACAACATCACACCTGTAATACAGAGATTTATGCAAACTAGAACTGCCCAACCATGGGAAAATGTACCATGTTTTTCTTTTTTCCATTAAGCTCTTTTTTTTTTTTTTTTTTTTTTTTT